TGACTCTCTGCATCCCTGTCTGTCCTTTTTCTCACCTGTCTGCCTTTGCATGTCCACTTCTATTGCCTGCTTTCTCTGCCCACCCACCCTTCCCCCTGCACCTCTCCGGGTCTCAGACTCAGATTCCTGACTCATCACCCTGTCCCGATCTCACATCCTTTCTTCCTCCAGGGTGTCATTGGAATCGATGGTGCCCCAGGTGCCAAAGGCAATGTGGTACGTGTCCTACCCTCTGACCCCTGGCCCTGCTGACACTCTGACCCCATGATCGTCCATATCCTTGTCCTCTCCTATGAGCCCCCCCTGTCAACTTCACTTACAGCTCAACACCATGACCCTTTCCAGCTTCACTGAACCCCCACTTTCTCCGCAGGGTCCTCCAGGAGAACCAGGTCCTCCAGGACAGCAGGGAAACCATGGATCCCAGGTTTGAACCATCTTTCCCAATAATGGGGGTCGGGCAGGGGTCAGGCAAGCCCTTAGACCTCTCCCACCCTCCCCAACCTCAGCACTCACTGCTACTTTCTCATGCCTCCCCCCACTGTCTTTTTTTGTATCCCCAGGGAATTCCCGGCCCCCAGGGACCCATTGGCACTCCTGGAGAGAAGGCGAGTGACAGGTCTACCTACCCCCACCTCCTCCTGTCCTCTTCTTTCGACTCTGTCTCCAGGAAAATCTTCCCACCAAGGCACTTTCTGTTAGCCTTGAACAGTGATAAATTGCAACATTCCTACAGCCAGCCCAGAGTTACAAAGTGTTATTGTTGGGGAAGGGTTGGTTTCCAGAAACAGAAGCCCACCAAGGCTAGATCCCATAAGAGGACGTTGTCAGGATACAGAGAACTCCACAGAAGCCTGTCACAGAAAGTACTCTCAAGACTCAGTGACAGGAAAGCCCTTTCTCTGGGGTCTGACGGTCTCATCTTTACTCCTCTGCACATCTGCTTCCGTCTCCCCCGGCAGACAGGCGACTTCCTGTATACATTTAAGTTTGGACTCTCCCCTCCCCCCAACATCTATTTCTACATGGTCCTGTCTTACTTTGTCCTCTTTTCTTGTCCCAGCTTCCCATGACCTTATAGTTGCTTTATCCAAAGCCATCCAATCAGAGTTCCTGTGTCTCTTACCTGCAAATTCCAGGAAAGTATCTGATTGGCTTAGCTGGGCCAAGGTGTCTACTTTTGAACCTGTCAACTGCTTGCATGACATACGGGGTCATCTCACGTCCTCCTAGTCTGCCTAGGCCCACCCCTCTGCAGATGGAGCTGCGGGTGGGAGGGGTTTTTGAAGAAAGGTACACCACCCTCATCTCAACATGACTCTCATGCTTTTTTATTTGTTTTCTTATGTTTTTTAAATTAATTAATTAATTATTTTGGCAGCCCCCTGGTAATAGGGATCTGACCCTGGATGTTGGTGTTACCACATTCTAGCCAACTGAGCTAACCAGCCAGCCCTCTCACATGTTTTTACACCCCTTTTCTCAACCCTCCCAGAGGCGGAGGGTTTCTGAGGCCTAGAGAAGGAAAGTGCTTTCCTGGGGTCACACAGCAAGTCTGGGCAGTACTGGTATAGATTTCTGGCCAGTGGCACCTGCTTATTTTCTAATCTTGAGGCTGCTGTATGCCTGCG